AGTTCTCTGACGAAGTAAAGTAAACAATGTTTTTTTCAAAACCATATTGAATCTTGATTGTAAAATGATTTTTAAATGTCCTGCTATAGTCTCCTTATTAATTGTACTTTCCCATGACAGGCATTAGACTATAGCTTCCTGCTTTCTATCTCACTCTGTACTTGAACAGAAGTGTTAAATTAACAACTTTCCAATCTGCTGGGACCATTTCAGAATCTACGGAGTTTTGAAAGATCACAACAAATGCATGTTATCTCTGCTTATTTTAAGAGTCTAAAATGAAAGCCACCAGGTCCAGAGGACTTGCTAACCTGTAGTTATTACTTTTCCCAATATCATTATCCTTGTGGTTTAAGTTTCTCCCTGTCTTTTACCACATGATTTTCAAGAGTTGTTTTTTGTGTGTGTCTTAGTGAAAACAGGCACAAAATACCTGTTTATCATTTCCACCATTTCCATGATTTCCTATTCTCACCCTTTAATGGGCTAACACTCACTACAATTACTCTTTCCTTTATAAAATCTATTTGTTATATTTTTAGCTAGCTTTCCCTCATACTCTCATTTATTCATCTTTATTATGTTTTCATCATTCTTTGCCGATTTCTGAAATTTGTTCAAATTTCTGACCTACCAGGTAATACAACATTCTCCCGAGCATTTTTTAAATCAAAGAAATTTTTCTTTGCTGAGAATTATGAGAGATCACTGTACATGTCTGCCATTGATTCTCTACTGTCCTACATTTTAATCCTTTTTGCAACTTCATTTCTCTAATTCTGTGTTAATACCATGGTAATTGCTTGCAATCGTGTTTATGATAACAGTCTTAAGCCCACACTTCTCAACTGCAAAGTGAATGTGAAATTCTATCATGTTACAATCACTAATGCCTAGAGGCTCCTTTATTATAAGGTTATTAATTAATTCTCTTTCATTGAACATTGCCAGGTCTAAAGTAGTCTATTTTCTGGTTGGCACTCGAATCTATGCTCTAAGAAATTTTCCCAAATATTCTCTATGAACTCAGCTTCCAGGCTGTATTTATCAATCTGATTTGTCTAATCTATATGAAGGTAAAAACCACCCATCATTCTTGCAGTACTCTTCTTACGAGCTCCTATTATTTCTTCCTGTATTTTCCATCCCACAGTAAAGCTGTCAGGAGGCTTTTAAACTACTTTCCTAAGTGACTCTGCCATGCCCACAAAGCATGAAGAGAAATCCTTTTTATTAAATAAATGAATCTAAATGCCCTTGCTTTTCTTTAAGTGGGCATATGTTGTATTTATCATAGGTACCAGCAACCTCAGAATGTGTCTCAAAAGTTCAATGGAAAAAAGGCCACATGAAATGTCATATCCTTGCATTTTGTAGACTTTTGAGCCAAACCCACAGACAGCATGCATCTCTCCATTTAGGTTTGGTTGAAAGAAAACACCAAAACCTTAAGTCTGAGATGGCACTTATAGCTCCATGATTTATCTCCTACAACACATGATGGTGACGACCAGATGCATCAAAGCCATCACAGTAACAAAGTGACTCATCCAGAATCTACAGCCACATGACTGAAACTTATGGTCTTTGAAAAGCCTTAATGCTCTACAGCTCATAAACTTTGAAATGAACCTGCTTTTATCATTAGGACAGAAAACAGCAAAGCAGGTCCAGGTTAATCTAAAAGCCTGTCTGGTGTCTGTTCCTCCCTGAAAACACTGCTTTCAGGAAGAATTTTGCATTTTTCTGGAAAAGTGAACTAATTCCTTATCTTCAATAATTGTGTTGCCACTCTTCCAGCTGCATCAGAGCTCCTTCAAAATAGGAATTCTGCCTGACCATCTGAAAGAACTGACTGGACATAGAATAGATTAAAGTCCAGCAAGGCAATGTGAATTAAAGCCAATACCTTTGATATTTAAGCGACTCATTATTGTGACATCTTATTTAAGCGACTTATTATTGTGACATCTTATTTTCCTTTTTTTTGCTTTCTTTCTTCTTTGCATGCTTATGTGTGTGCTAGTGCATGCCGTGATAAACACTTCTCCTGGGGTTTGAATGTGTAAATAAACCCTACCTAATTTTAACCCTAAAGAATTTGCTGTAGGGCATGTTAAAATTGGACTTCACAACTAGGGTTTGGGAAAAAGGAAAAGAAAATTTTAAAATCACCTGTATAATAAGCAGAAGAGGAGAAGAGTAAAATAATTCAATTCACTCCCTCTCTTTCTGTGATAATTTCTTACCCTTTCTTCTCTTTACCAATACTGATTCTATATCTTGATCTTCTTTATTAAGGTACTCTCTCATACTAACATGTTGACTGGGGTGGACAAGGTCAGAAGTCACACGACACCAGGTTATATTCCAACAGATTTATTTGAAAATACAAGCTTTTGGAGTATACCCCCTTCATCAGGTGAAGGGGCTATGCTCCGAAAGCTTGTGTGTTCAAATAAACCTGTTGGACTATAACCTGGTGTCGTGGGATTTCTGAACTCACACTAATGTAACAGAGCTACCCCACTCCCACCTATTCCTAAATTTCCTGGCAACACAGCAGAGTTCAAACCATTATATCCATGCTACATGAACTGAATATCAACATTTGAATATGTTGGAAATGAGTAATTAAAATGTTTTTTTCCATCTCATAAAAAGTTCTATAACATTTTACAGTCAATCAATTACATTGTGATATGCAGTTAATGCTTAGCCTGCAGTTTCACACCTATTTGCACAAGTGAGATGAATGATCTGTGTTTGTTGGATTTAATTGTGAGAGGGATTATTCACCTGGGACATCAGGAAATTACAGTGGAAAATGTTATGCTTTCTGGGCAGTTGGTTTGTTTTTTCTTCACTGAAACAACTAATAGCTCATCACCCCTCATGAGCTAGGCTCCCATGAGGTTTAGGACTTGGGGTTTAACGTTGCACTACTGAGACACTAATCACTTGTCTGTACATTTCCATTCTTAATGTGTTGCACTGGGGCTCTGCCTCACTTAAAAGTGACTATTGCCTTGACTCTCACAAACTCCAGCTACTCTTTATTTAATGTATTGAATCCTCATTTTACTAATATGACTTTAAAACAGATTATTCTATCCTCACTTAGCAGATCAATAGCATGTGACTGTTGATGTCAGTATCAGGTCACTTTATACTTTATTATAATACCAACACGTGCATTCTCATTATACCACCATTGTCTGAATCTCTGACAGGCTGCACCTCAGATAATGCAGCACTCCTTTAGTTCTGTTAGCTCTCAGTTTGAAATTAGTCAGGTGTTGGTGGCACCAAATGAGTTAAAGCTAACTCTGGAATGAATGTTTTTGTACTGTTTAAATTAAATTATATTTTTGAGGCATTTGCAAAGCCGATGAGTTTTAGAGCAACAAGACATTGTCTTTTTAGAATTATCCATGAATTGGTTTGGTCACCAAGAGATCAAGACAGAGGAACATGTCCTCGGAACTAACTGCAGTTCATAAAGTTTACTGTGTGATTAGGGATTTACAGAAACACTATTGAATAATGAATTGTGAGGGAGGCTGTTGGTATTCCTCTGGGAGGTAAATGCAACAGCCACATTTAAGAGTTATATAATAGAATGGCATGTAAAACAACAGGAAGAAAACTTCATAACAGCAAAATGGCTATTTTGTTGACCAGTGGAGAGGCTACAATCTAAATAGTTATGTAGAGTATTAAGAAAGTGATTTTCAGCCATTTTATACATTACCTCATTCAGAATCCTCCCTGTGGAGAAAGAAAAGCCTTCAAACCAACTACAGGTATTGTAAATATTTTCTGAGCCCTGCAAGTTTCAGTGTTAAGATAGGTTTGTGACAGATTCATTCAAAGACAATTTACTTTATAGAGAAACAACAGATAAACAATGGCAGAGTTTAGCAGGATTCAACTGACTATGTGTGTTTATAGTCATAGAGATCTATGGCACAGTAAAAGGCCCTTTGGCCCATTGCGTACATGCCAGTCAATAGCAATCATCCAACTATTCAAATCTCATTTTCCGCACGTGGCCCACAGCCTTGTGTGTCTTGACATTGCAAGTGCAGAGATGGTTTTGCATCTATCATCCTTACAGGCAGTGAGTTTCATATCCTTAATACCCTCTGAATAAAAAGGTTTTTCCTCACATCCCCTCTAAACCTTCTGCCCCTTAAATCTACGCCCCCGGTCATTGATCTCTCGAGCAGGGGGGAGAATCTCTTCTGGTCTACCCTATCAATGTAATTTTATGCATGTCAATCATGTCCCCTCTACTCTAAGTAAAGCAATCCCAGTCCAATTTCTATTCATATCTGAAACGCTTCAGCCCAGTACCTATAACTTTGAAACATCTAGTCTGAAATATTTCGCAACCGCGAATATTAGTTACCTAACAATTAATATCTCGATCGGTTGTTATCCTTATCCGTGAGGTTGCAGCGCTGAGGCTTTCTCGGTCAATAGGTGAATGCAACCAGTCCGCAAATTCGTGAAGTTCCCAGCAACCTATTTTTGATTGCAGCCCGAATGTGTTCTGTCACTTTAATCGGAATTCGAGAGTGTTTGAATGCAGCATCGCTTCCCTCGAACTCGGAAATCAAATGAAATGTGATTGATTATGTGTGGGCGCCGTTCTTTTTTTTATTTTGCAGAGAAAGCAGCTTATGAAACTCATGCTTACGGCATTTCTAAACTTTCCTGGCCCCTGCAGCTACATTACTACTCTCTGGAAAATATAAAGGATTGTACTCATGGCAACTGGCGTCATATCCCAAAATATACCGTGTTTACATTCGGATGAAGTCATAGCAACCAAGACAATTCTGGTGTTTACTTTGCATGTCTGTGATGGGAAGCGATTTAGTCGGTTCTATCGCAACATTGGACAATGCTATTTCACCAGGAGCGAAGCTAGGGATTCGCGAGTGACCGTTGCATTGTAAGATGAAGAATGATGAGGATTTCGAACAACTCACGTGTTTCTGGCATTTAATTCATTAGGTCTAAACTAGCAAGGTTGTGCAGTCCCTCCCCCTTCTCTACATGAAAGCTCGGAACATCACGACATGTAGATTGTCTCGCTCTCTCTGTATTGTCCAAGTCTTTAGAGGTCCCCGCTCCACGCGTGCTCCTGTTTATTTCGGTTCTGACAGGGGAAACGCAATACAATTATATGCCCTGCTTGCGATAAATTCACCAATGCTTTCCACTGCCCGCGATGAGTGATTCTTCAACGAACATAAAAAAAATTCTGAAAGTGATCAGCCGCAGTTCACGGCACGTGGAACAATGTCCCGGTGGAAAAAGAGAGCGGGTGAACACCACCAAACATTGGTATAAAACCTATCGGATCATCGCATTAAATTACAGCCTGATACCCAAACCTCCTGGTCTGCCTGAAAACATGTTACTTGCCAGTATACTCACAACAAATCTGGTGTCGGTTTCCTAATGACTGCTTGTTGCTCAGGTTCATGTGTGCGATTTTACTCTCTGTATATTACTACCGTGTCGCCTCCAGTACAATGAATGACTACATGTATCATTGGCTGAGGTGAATTGGGACGTCCTGAGATTCTGAAAAGGCCCTCTGTCAATGCAGGTCTTAAATTTTGTCCTGTGTTTGGGGAGTGTTGAAGGAATTCCTTTCTTTTAAAATAAAACCCTTCAAGATTACAGGACTATCATTGCCAGCGTGCATTTCCATTGCAGAACAGAGCCTGCATGTTTCAGTGAAGTGGCTTCATTGCTTCTGACTCCTGCCTGCATATACACAGCGTGCCCTGGTTCCGGCAAGAGCGAGCTTTAGGCTCGTGCTCGGTCGCGCGCGTGAGCCGCCCCAACCCGCGCTGAGGGGAAGCGCGAGCGCCAGCACCAGCACCAGCACCGGCTTGGACTGGGCGCGCACCCGACACAGTCATCAGAAACTCCTGTCCTGCAAGCAAAAGACAGACTCTTAGGGCACGTTTTCTTTCCTTAAAAAATAAAAGTGGAAAGGATTGAGAATTTTTTTTTGCACTGACCCGGTCAACGCTCTGACTGTCGGCTCTTCAAAAAAAACACAAAGTAAAATAACTCGCAGTTTATTCCGGAGAGAAGAACTGCCACTGGAGCTAGGGGAGGAGGAGAAGAAAGAGGGAAGAGGTTCTGAGGTGAGTGAATAAGAATTAGAAGGGTGGGGGGAAGAGAATGGAACAGCGCGGCTGGTGGAAATGTTTTGTTTTTGTAAAGGCAGACTTTGTTGTTGTTGTTATTGTTTGCTGGGTGTGAGTCGCTTGGCCCTGGGAAGGTGCAGTGCTGTATGTTTGGGCTTCTGAGGGAGTGAGGGGGGGTGAGGCGAGGGGAAAAGGCTGGCGTGCTTTGCAAAGCTATCGCCTGCACCTCGCCCCTGTCACTGGGGACTGTGCTGAAGGAACTGGACGAATGGATGGATAGCGCTGGCGCTGGCTGCACTGGGAGGTAAATTCACTTCCCCCTGTCAAAGTCTGCAATGGGATTTCCTCCCTCATTCTTTCTCCTCCAACCTCCAACCACCCCCCCCCCCCTTCTTATTTAGTGTCCCCTCCGGCCCCACAACCTCCTATTCGTACATAAGCCTCTTGGATCTTTACTTCTCAGTGTGTCGATTTCGTTGTTTAAGTCAACGCGTTCAGGGATGCGGAAACCTCGAGCGTACGTGCTCCTTTTGCAAGTACACAGTTACATATGTGACAACTTGTGCGAGCTCTTCTGAACGCGACCGAAAAGTTGCACATTGTGCAACAGTATTACCTTAGCTTTAAAGGAAGCTGATGGAGCGACAGTTATAAAACCAACCTAGGTATTTTGCTTTCCTCCAGTGCTGAAGTCTTGAAAACCAGTGAAATAGACAACTGGGTGCGAAGATAGTTTATGAACCTTTTGTAGACAATTGGATTTTTCTATCGCAGCAATACACACGTAGGTCTCGACTTTATAAGTTTGACATTGACCCCCATTCCTTGGTTCCCGGATTTGATCATTTGTAGCTGGAATGCGTAAATCAGCAAATATTAGTAAGTTGTTCCAGTCCTAAGCGATTAAAGTTTGCGTTTCAATGTTGCAAACAGTTATAGAGTCATACAGCACGGAAACAGACCTTACGTTGTTTCCAATTCAACTGTATTGAATCAATTCAGTTTAGAGCAGTCGGAACTATAGGTGCCTTGGCAACCCCGTCCAGATGATGATTAACGTCTGAATTTACTATATTTATCCCAGTGTGTGTGTTTGTACAATATATACATTTGATTGCACTGTTTCACAACTTAAACATCAGTTTTAAAAGCGAAATCCAGATTAACTCCCAGAACGTGTTCAAACCTGTTCTATTGGGACTCACCAACGTAAACAAATGGAAATTTATCAACTTACTGCCTAACATAGACGGATTTCTGATGTTGTAATGCCTTTCAGATTAATGGGAACTTTTTAATATCCAATAAGTAATTATCAAGATGATGAGCATTATGTCAAGATAGGCTGTTTAACTGTTTTAAAAGTTGAGATTGGAAGCATAAAATCTGAGTCTGCATCAATTTGGTTTACAGATTAGACAGAACATTCATGTTTTTCTTATTTTGTGGCGCTGATAATCTTTTTTTAAATTAAGATTCATAATAGAAATCTCATGTTGGTCAGATGAAACTGAGTTTGCCACTCAGTTGTCCAGAGTTTTGCATTGCTCAGATCTCATTTACTATGCAAAAATCCTGCCATCCATAAAGTTCATCACAGGTACTGGAGCTCTTGCTTTTCAGTGTTCCTTTCAATTTATCAGCAGTCCTTGAGATGATCTGTCTACTTTGCATTATAAAATGGTGTTTTGCAATCGATTTCACTTCTAAACTTGGTTGTTTCCATCCTACCACTCAAATTAGAACATTAAGAAATAGATGTTCTTTTATGTTGTATTTTAAAAAAGAAGTGCAGTAGAGACTTGTCTGATTTATGAGAAGTGTAATCTTTTTTGTTTAATAGCTTTTTAGCCACAGGCATTTAAATTGTCGGCTGAGTGGTTCTCAGTAGCTAGAAGGCTCATATACTGGAGAATTGTTTTGATCTCATGGCTTTCATTAATATTTTGTGACATGGCTTTTTATTTTTTTGGCCTATATAGAAATGAAGGGATGTTAATACTGCAGTCTTAGTATTGTGAATGTACAGTTCTTGAAGATCATGCACAGATATATGAAAGGCCGCAATATTAATTGCACCCATTCAAAAAACCACTTGTCTGTAATTCATACTTATTATTAACAGGCCTGTCCATGGAACTGAAATTAAACTTGCAGGGAAAATATGAAACAAGAAAAGATCATTTAAGGTTTTGCATTGAAAGCCCCATGAAGTGAAATATTAACAAATTCAGATTCTGAGACTTGCTTTGATCCAGTATTCTTCATTTTACTTTGCATTTTCCAATTTAAAAAATAAAACGAGGAAGAAATGACTGGATAATCTGTGAAATAAGATTGAGGCAGAGGTATTGTGATTTTTTTACAGGAAAAATGTAGTCACTTGGTAATATCCACCTGCAGTCAAACTATATAAGTATGTTTTTAAAATTTGAGTATTACATCATTTCCAAAAAACCCTATTCTTGGATAAAATTAACTTTTTGGTTCTTTAAAATGTTATTAGAAAGTCATGTCTATTTTATCAAACAACGCATAAAAAAATTCTTAAACTAACATTGATTTTCCCTGATATTCAGCTGAATAAGACAGGGAATACATCAGCAATAAAGATTAATATTGTTCTATTCTGTCAGTGCTGAGTTATTTGAACTTAGTCAGGGTAACAGTTAAGACAAAGATCATGGATTTTAAAACCACTGTCGTAAAAATGATGAAAATATGATGGGATTCAGTGGCCCTGACTGGAAAATGCACTTGGGCATGAGTTGAAATCAAGGCAAGTTTGGCTATGATGCTCACTGGTTGGGTAGCCTTAGACGTGATATTTGGGCAGGTGCTCCTAATGTGTTTGGAACCATATTGGATCAGTCAAGAGGGTGGTGGAGGCGGGGGGTGGTGATAAAAATCAGCCTCCTCTTCTCATCCAATTATTCAGAGGCAAAGTATTTTGAATCCTGTTCCATCTGACTTTGTGCATGAAGAAAAAATCCAACCAAAGCGTAGTCCTTTTTTTTCAAAAAAAAAGTACGCTCCCCATGTCAGTATGACCCAAAATCCTGACAAACGTTTCTTGTTGCATAATTGCAGGCCTTTCAAGACCTGTGTAACAGGATAATGTAAAACTTCAATGTTGTACTGCATTAACTATTCAAAACTAGTATCATTGCTAGCTCTTCAGTGATTTGAATAACATCAAAGATTCAGCTGAGAGCTCCTACTGAAACATGTATGCTTTTGTATCATTTTTCTTTTTCAAATGTCTAAACATTGTGATTATAAACTAAACACAAGACTCCGGAGGAGAGAAAATGGAACATGTACTTTTCAAGTGGATTCAGTTTAGCATCATGAGATAATGATGCTGACGTACTTTGGCTACCGTATCTGTACCTGCACATTTTGTTTTTTTCAGTCTTGGAAAGCTCAGATCCCACACTGAGATTTTAATTATTTGTCAGAATAAAGCAAGATGCCACAAACAGAAGTTAATACATTCAAATATGTGGTTCTCATTTTATATAATAATGCTTCTGTAAAGTGCCTTGGAACATTTTATTACACTAACTTGGCTTTATACACTTGCTTGAATGTTGTGAATGTATATGTAACTGTACAAGGCACAATGACATTTTCAGAAAATAGATTAGGTATAAGCAGCAAATTGAAGCCAATATTGTGTGCAATATATTCTTGTGAACAGAACTAATACAAAAAGAGTTGCAATTTCTTGCTGTTTTCTTCTTGTTTCATTTGACATTAGAACACCAGTGGATATGTGAATGACCCAAATGATATTTCTGCCTGTGAGGAATTGCTTAATCCCCAAATTAGGGCATTATCATGATGATACGACTGAAATTGATAACTCATATTGAGGATATAGTGAGCATAAATGCAGGCCCTTGTACTCGGTGATAAAGCACCATTCTGCTGCAATGTTCTGTGATGCCTATGACCTATCGTTATAACACTGCTGTGATTAAAATTTTATGAATGAAGGATTATGAAAATATAGCCCTGCCCTTATTAAGCTAAAACATGTTGTTTATATTTTAAGTAGGAAACATAAAATTCCAGATATACTTTTCTTTATTTTTTTTTGTGTTGTGATCTGTCATATGTCACATTTATGGTTACCAGCCAACTGATGAGTAGAAGTTATATTTTATTTTTCAGTTCTTTTAACTTTTTGTGATCTACTTCTTCATTTATTCATCTTCCTCTTGTTCCAATATGCTGCAGTCTTGGTAGCAACCTGCACTGTCAGCCACTTCTTTGTTCAGGTTTCTAAATCAAAAAGGCAATGCAGTGAGTCTCAGTATTTAGTTATGTTTACGGTGTAAAATGTTCAAAGTACTACATCTTTGTTTTCTTTATCAGTTTCAAGCATACAGTTCTCACTATTGCATGTCTTCTGCATAGTTGTAAACCTCGTCTCACAGCCATACTTTTAGGGAAGTTGCAGAACTGGTCTCACCATGAGATGCATCAGAAGGGCAGGAAAGCTGACGTTTCAGGCCTAGGCCTGTCTTCAGAAATGGGGAAATGGGGGTTCAGAAATAAATAGGGAGAGAGGGGGAGGCGGATAGAAGATGGATAAAGG